TGACACTTCAGTATCTGACGACGAATTCTCAATGATACCTTCCTTACGATAATCATCCAATTACCTTTTTATAATCCTCATAAAAAGCTGTATCATTTCTAAATCTCCTAACCAGATCCATCGAAACGTTTCCGAGCCACTTCTCTATTATTTGCTAATTTCTCCTGCATATGTCCTGGTTTCCACGGCAACTTATACACAATATCTTCCATCTACGAACCCAACAGAATTATTAAATTCATCAAGTATCTCCTGTTCCACTAAAGTCAAACACTCCGCTTCCTTGTTTTCAATACCTAAACTTTCCAGTTCCCAGAAACGCCTGAGTTCAGCTGATACAGTGCTTTGATCACCTAAAACTAAGTTCACAGCAGCCGTTTTACTCATATCACCACAATTTCCTGCAAGGACCATCCAAGTTCTGTGTTTACAGCTACCAAAGACGTATTTAACCTTCAAAACCTTTTGTCAACTTCCAATAAAAATCTATACCTATTAACAAGGAAATTTCATTATCATCTGACGCTTGATTATATCCCCACGTTAAAGTTAATCCCTTGGCTTCCATTTCAGCTCTTGTACGCTCATTCGGCAAATTAATCGCCGCCCTCGAAATTTCATCTGTTTCCAACGCCTGTATTACGACTTCATTTCCATCTAAAATATTTCGCAATCTCACTTCAACTCTGCGACATGTTTGCAACCTAAGGATCCTTTGCTCCAAATGAATAAATCTTTAATGTTTCTGACCCTAGACATTTTAATCCCAACTTCATAGATACATTTCTTTTAATAAAACTCTTCTCACTACCGTTATCAAACATTGCAATAACTATACCTGACGATTTACGACCAACAATTTCTGTCCTAACACACTGCAATAAAATCACATTCCTATCATTTACAACTGAATTCGAAATAGTAGGCTGAATTTCCAATTTCCTTTGGTTTTTCTTCTTCCGGTTTTGAATTAGATTTACACTTGCTAGAAATTTTCAAATTTAAAACAAATAGCTTTGGCGTGTCTACCAAAGCAGAATGAACACTGTTTAGCATTACAATTTTTTCACAAAAAACAGTTTGTGTTACAACATAACAGACATCTCCTTTCCTTAATTAATTTATCCCTTTTTTGCTTGTACAGTCATGTTTTCACATTCAGTCTTACAGTGACCTTGACCGCAGAATAAACAAACTTGACTTCGGAAGTTTTCGCCATAAATTCTGTTACTGACGCGTGTTGATTATTGCGACTCGAATGAAAGTTTCGTTTCTGATTTCGAAAATTGGAAGTTTTGTTTGTGTTGGTTAGAATGAAAATTATTATATGAAGATACATTATTAGAATTAATACGGAATGCTTTTTCTCTTGCACTAATAGCATTGTGTAAAAACTTCATCAATTCCTGTAAATCATGACAATTATTATATTTTGCTTCGAAAATTCAAGAGTCAATTCTCCTGGCAGATGTTTTAGTATTATGTTAGTCAGTATTGTTGTGTATGTTTCCGATTTGACATTTAATTCCTCTAAACATCTAATTTGAGTTTGGGCTTCAAAATAAAGGTTACGAAGAGCCTGAATGTTAGAAGCATTTTTTACAGGTGCCAGATTTAATAAATTTGACAAGTGAGCATTTATTAAAATGTCTCTTTGGCCAAATGTTTCAGAAATTAATTTAACAGCCTGTTTATAATTCTCTGGAGTAATTGAGAATCCTTTAATGCTAGCTAGGGCTTTACCACCTAATAACGACTTTAAATAGCAAAATTTGTCAACCTCAGTTAAATTAGAATTATTATGCACAGAATTCTCAAACTTATTGAAACTTCTCAAACTTATTCCAAAAAGTCTAAATATTCTGAAGGCTCACCATAGAATCGAGGAAGCGAAAGTTTAGGAAGTTTAGTTCTGTTTTCTAAATGCAAATTTTTATTTCTACGTGAACATTTTCTGGATTTACTGTTTGTTCACCTGACTGATATGGAACTTTTCCAATTGATTTAATTTTGTTTTGCAACTTTACTTTAACTGGTATTATTTTTCCGTTATATTCATCTATCTACTGTGTTAATTTCATCCTTAATTTCTTGTTCTTCTTTCAACAATTCATCAATGTCACTATTTAGTATGTTAATAATTTCAATTTTACTATTCAACTGTTCTAAATATGAATCACATACATCTATGTCAATATCTGATTCATTCAAATATATGTTTATTTTTTCTACTAACTTTAATGTTTGTTCACGATGTGTGTCACGCTTAGTTCGAAGCTTTAACAATTTAGCCATTTTCACAGTTTCTAGCAACAAATTTTACCCCTCAAATACTTTAACAATAAATTCTAATTCTAGAATTCTAAGAAAACAAACTGTAATTTTCAACAACAAATCACACTTCAAGCATTAACAACAAATTCTAATTCTAAGAAAGCAAACAACATTTTCTTATTTTCAAATACCAATGCAAATATTCAGTAAATGCGAAACCTAAAGTTGTAAATTTTTTACCAAACAAGATCAACAACATCAAATAACTTTACCACTTCAACAATTACAAAATATTCTATTCAACCAAATTTTCAACAAAACTATTTACTCACCCCACCATTACGATAATTCCCGGCGACAGCACCACATGTTACGAAGCGAATAACGATACTAATGCGTAGTTCGAAAGGCTAGTAATAACTTGACGATTCTTGTTCGAACGCTAATTTTGTTCCGACGAATATGCATCAGTGGTAAATTTGATCTTGATTTGGATACAAAAAATTCATGACGATATCTTTCATTTATATTTAATGAAAGCACCAAAATATATCACAGCAATACCCATACATCGCAATGGCGAACTACAGTTACATAATGTTAAAAAAAAACAGAATTCTTTTGGCGCAACAGCGCCCTCTATCCTATGAAAAGTTCCAACACCAGAAAAGGGGTTTTGAGATAAGTGAAAAAGAATATGTCCCCGAGTATGAGATACCCGGTGTTCGTGCTCGCGGGTTAAACCTCGTAGCGGAAAAGGAACAGAAAGCATCAACATCAAAAAATTACCATGATTACCGTGATTACCATGATTACCATGAGTACCATGATTACCATGATTAGTACCTAATTTTCTCTTACTAGTAATACATATTTAACAATTTTCTTAAATACTGATATTTCAAGGCCTAATCTAAAGGAAACCTCAACTAGTAAGTTGAACCTCCTAAATTTCCCTATAGCACTTAATACATTTTTAACCGTTACTTACGAATTTGATTTCACTTAACAAATTGTACTGGAGCTTTTCCAAATGATTTAGTGTAATGTAAACCAAAAAAAAATTTAAGTTCAGACGGGACTGTCCGTCACCTGTCCAAGAAAACAAGGCCGGCAAGATTGTTCTTCATAAGTTCTGGATTCTACGCCGCTGATCCACGGTGTCGGAAAGGAAGCTCTATCCATACAGTACACAATCTTTTCTGCTTGGGATATGGACTGCTCTCTGGGTGTTCCGAAATCATAGATGTCGTCTGCTGACTTCGTCGAAGAATTCGAAACTGGAGAGAAGTTCCAGAAATACGGGAGACCTCATGTCGGCTGACGCAACGTCCTTATCAATACGGCTTATTCCATAATGGCTATTTTAGGTGAAGCAAAATTCCAAAAGATGAACGAAAACCATTATTGTATGTTCTGAAGCAAGCTACTGTAGAAGTACATTTAAGGTGAGAAGAAGAATCTTCTAATTAAATCCTCCGCTGGACGTAACTGCCCCTAAAAAATTCGGCGCTAAACATTTCCAGTTCCCCATCGTGGGAGCTATGCCAAAATCTCCTAACAGAAGAAAGCCAGGACGTTGATCTGTGACGTCACGATAGTCGTCTGAGTCGAAATTCTAAAGGGCAAAGAAACAAAATACGCTGCGCGCTACTGCCGTACTTAAGATTGTTTTCACTATTTGATATAGATATTTGGGTTGGATTTTATTCAAAGATTCTTCTATATGGAGGTGTTGGCTATGCCGGACGAAAAAACAGCAATCTGTAGCGAGAGAGAAGAGAAGAAAATTTCCTAATGAGGCTTCTTTTAGACATGAAAGTTTACCACAATTTCCAACAAGCGCTGGAAAACTGCGAAAAAAACTAATCTTTTTTTCACCCACAGCCTTACGCACTGTAAAAGTTTCTCATTTTTCAAGGTGTTAACTCAACCACTAATTCACGCATTGCCAAAACTTTCCCAAATGAAACATCTGTGATACGGCCGAACTGTCAAACCTAATCTTACCTCACCGGAAATCCCTTAGTGAAACAGGCAGCTTAAAAATTTTACTCTGAGTTTATCCCACTTTCTTTTGATAACCGAGAAAATGCAAAAATTTGTTAAATAAATTGCTGTAACTCAAAATCCATTTTAGCTATTCAGTTGAAAGTATTTTTAAAATGCAGAGCAAATTTTTCTGCTTCCAGTAGTATAAGTTATAAATAAGTAAAGGTAAATTAAGTATTTTTAACTTCACAATATTAAGTGAAAATTTACCTAATTCTATTGTCTCGTCAGCGCGTTCAGAAAATAACGAAAGAAATGAACGTATAATCTTAAGTAAAAAACCTCCAATTAATGTAAAACAAATTAACACAGAGATTAAATAAAAATACACGCTGTGCAGCAATTTGGAATATAAATAGATTAATTTTTGATAAATCATAAATTACTTAATTATCTTAATTTCGCTACACAACACCAGCGGCCGAGCGGTAAAGTCGCTGAATACTAATAGCCCGACCTGGGTTCGATTCCAGGCGCACGGGCTGGATGGCTACATGGGCATTTTCACGGTTTTCCCATTTGTAACGTGTATACAATCCAATTTCAATTAGAAAGTCCTCCATGAAAGCATCGCTTCCCTTGCAGTTAGCCCTAGTTTGCTTTGCCGTAATCGTAATAAGCAAACTATGTTACACCTAGTCAAAAATTCAAAATAATTTATGAACATAACAGACCTCAAACAATCCATTTCACTTGGCAATCTTTCTCTTTCGATGACTAAACCGATGGTATCAGCCGTTCGCTGTGGTGAATGTGGAATTCTGGCCGGAAGCAAGAAAACCTACAAAGAAATTTTCTTTATTAGACAAACATCATTTTTGTAATTAGGAAACTACAGCATATATATACACAACTGAATGATCATACAAAATCAGAATTTATGAATAAAAGGTTTCGGTTTAAAATTTGATTGTACAGAAATTATTTTATTCAATTCTACTTTTAAATACAGTTTCATTGCCCCAAACATGCTTTGTTGAAAGCTATGCACTCTCTGTATATTTTGCAAAACTGCGCTCTTCCGTCTGGATTATCTGTTGTGTAGAGAATTTGTCTGATAGCGTTATAAAAACTAGGTGAATGATTTTCTGATTTATGGAAATCTTAATTTTATTTGATTCTGAATTATTTATTTTAATGCTTTAATTTTGGGGGAAAACAGATGCTTCTGGGAATATTATTTAGTTTAAAAGAATATTATTTATTTCTTCTTGTATTTGCAATTTTTGTACAAGCTTTGATTCATTGTGAAAAGAAGCAGGGAAAGGGAGGCAATTTTGCTAAGTCATGATTTCGCGCGCTTTGTCCTTTAGAATGTTCTAGAAGGAATTTCATTGTGCAGTTGACCTTAAGACAGGACGTACGTGACAGAAGGGTCAGAAGTTGCCACTTTACTTTCGATGTAAGTCATTCAGGTTTTTGGCGATTAAGGGTCCGGTTGTTGGCTAAGTGAGGAAGGTGCGCGCATGTGCGATCACCCTTATTTTCTGTCATTCAGGGGAAAGAAAACGGAAATTTTGTCCAAAATTGAGGGGGCGATAATTTGAAGCCATTAGTGGGAGCCCGCGTTTGTGAAGGAGACGAAGAAAATTCGAGTTTGAATCCCTTTTTCGTGTGAGACTTTTTTTTTTCGTGCGAGACTTGGCGAGACGTACTTGCTTGCTGAACTTACTTTTGGACGTTACTTTTTGCCCGACTTTGGACGAGTTTTGTTGAAGGATTTAAGACTTTCAGGATTAAGACTTTTTGCCGAACTTCCAAGGCTGAAGGATTTGTTAAGTTTCTGTGGATGAATAAGTGGTGAGTCAGGCGGATCACAGCCGACACTATCCGGCCGTCGCCTTGCTGTCGAAAAGAAAAAAAAAATATCCAGCGAGTATTAATTTCCAAAATTATAGGCCATGTTCCTCCCTGGCCAATGTGAGATTTTATACTTGACATCCTGACTACGAGCTTGAAGATTCTGCTCGGATGCTGGTTCGAGGGCTTGTTTTCTACAGGGCTGTGCGAGCGGATTGTGTTGCCGAAAAAGAATGGAGTCGGGGTTATCCGGAATTGTCCCCAGTGGCACCGAAAGCGTGAGACTCCGTAGACGCCTGTGTTCCCCTTACGGAATGAATTTTTTTTAGGAATTATGGTGGTATTATAACCCCTTGAATTTTCTCCCAGAATGCAAGGCCAGCCCAGTACCTTTCCGGGTGCGTTTCAAGTCGTCAAAATCACAGATAAGTGCTTTATCAATTTTCCTTAGAACTTTTGGAAATTAGAACTTTACCTAAAATTGAATCTTAAATTCAGTCTACTGAAAATGAATTGCTTCCTTTTCCCCTTCTAAATTACCGAGACAAACCTTAAGGTTTTTTATATGAATTAGGATGTAATAATTTAAGTTGTTTGTGTAATCTTCCTTAGAACAGATGTGAATTGCAAATAATATGTTTTCCTTAACCTCTTAGAAATTATAGAACGGGTACCCGTTAAATTAAAAGAGGCATGTAATAGATTTGCAAATCATGAATATAAATGTAACAAAAAGTAAATGACAAATTGAAGAATTCCCCTGTGTCTAAAATAAGTAAATTAAAGGTAACACAAATAAGAAATTAGACTATCTGATGAGGATAAGATTTAAATTTTATTGTGAGGAATTTGAATAAACTGATATTTAATCTGGAAACCTATTACTTATGTGTTCTTTATATCTGTTATGTGTTTTTCTTATATATATATTGATTTTACATGTTGTTTATTCGATCCTCTCACGGCGCGGTCCCGGATGCATTTTCACAACGCAATGCATTAAAAATTCACTTATACGATCACTAAAAGTTTGGTAATTAGCAAACCCTTAAGAGTTTAGTTTCGCAGTTGATACCTCCGATTACCTCCAATAGTTACGTTGATACCTCCAATAGTTACGGTTTCACCTGTCTGTTTCTGCATTAGTTTCCTCCCTAAGAGGAAGTAGTAACACTGCATTGGTGCCCATGATTTTTACGGCAAAGTATAGAAACAGAACATTGGTGCAGCAGCTATTTAACATATCTTCACTGAAAGCATGTATTCTTCTTGGAATATAGTGTTTTCAATGATAGCGATTAAAATATGCTACAGAGACGAAAATTTGAAATTCCTGTATCACGGCTCACTTGCTTTACAAATTTCCTTTAGTTCTGGCGAAAACGTTTCTATCATATTTTGCCTTATCTTCATGTCTTCTACTTTCCAAAACATTCCGTTGGTCGTTCTGAGAGATTCCATCTTATCGAAGCTAATAAGCAGCGCATATTCGGAAAATTCTTTGATTATTTTTTCTGGATTGCCTTTGCATTTTAACTACACTTTAAAAGTTCTGAGAGAACTTTCAAATAAATTGTTTCATTTAATGCTTCATCCATCGCTTTAGATCAGTTCAAGAAAGGAATAAAAATTAAATGAATTATAACTGTTAAGCGAACAGCTTATAATTCTGGGACATCTTGTATTCTTGACAGTTTCGGGGACATATTGTATTTCTATTCAGAGAAATTAATATTATTATTACGTCCATCGTAGTTCTTTACAACATGAGGCTCCATACTATCTAGTGTCAAAATTAAATAACTCCAGGATTGAAGAGTAACTTATAATACGAAAAAAATACCTATTTTGTATAAAAAATACATATCAAATATCAAATATATATAGATATATATATATATATATATATATATATATATATAGATAGATAGATAGATACTATATATATATTATATATATAATAATTTATTTCCTGAACAGTATTGATTAATTGATTATATTATCTCCTAAGTTTAATTAAAGTAAATTATTTTAAAAGTGTGCATCCATACTATATATTATATATATATATATATATATATAGTATCACATAGTCATTACATGTTATTGTAAATAATAAAAATTTAAGTGCATTACAACATTCTCAATGTTTTGTAATCTTTCCATGGATTCTTAAGCAAAACTCTCAGTAATTATTGCATTAACTATATACTTTTGGAAAGATTTAATGAAATGCACAAGACATGAATTTCATGATGTATATAAGGTAGATTCCAGTAAAATTAATTTAAAGTAAATTGTTAGCTTAAATATGAAGAATATCACTTGAATTTACTATCTCTTAAATAATGGCTTCTACAAGAAAATGCAACATGACTAGTGAGCAATCTACAAAGTGCTCTTTTATACAAAAGACTACATACAGATGGCAGCACTTTTCTATCAAGAAATGGTTGAAGCATGTTGTATGATTTCTTAATCGGCATGATCTGACATGTAGTTTTAGACATAATAATCTAAGGCCATAAATTTCAGAGAAGCAGTTCGTCCAAAAGACTAGTTCAGTTATTTCTAAAACTTTTTTCTTGAATCTCATCTTTATTTTCAGCTTTTTGCAAATTAATGATAGTTAGAATTTTGCTGTCTATTATCCAGATCTTTTACGTTAATTCAGCTATTTTAAGCCAAATGAAGAAATAACTACACGAAGGAGCATCAGACAGAACCATTTTGTTTGAGGAAGATAACTGAAATAAAACATAAATTTCAAATAAAACATGTCATAAAAATATAAATTTCAAATAACGTCAAGTATTCGAACCTAGAGTAAAGTATCTTATAAGAATACGAAGCCTCTATCAGTAACAATAATAACAGCAAACTTTGAATTTTGGGCAACACATATTTTAAAATTTTAGCTATTTAAAGTGATCATCATTGCCAGCAATATATCTTTCTCAACGTAATAAGCAGATCGACAAAAAAGGATACGATTTCAACTCAGTTCACAATTTTTGAAAACCTGATTCGGTTTCACGAACTTCAAACGGTTTCTCAGTTTTTGAAACTACATTTAAATCAAAGATGAAAATTCCTCAGTGTATGCATTGAAATGCTAAGCGCAGCATTTCAATCACAGCTCTAAAAATAAGGCTACCTTGAAAGATTTAGCAGGTAAAACGAGGAAATTTTCAATTAATGCTTTCAGATTTAAAAATAAAATAAACAAAGAATTGAATTTTTAAAATCAAGTCAAATTGTACTCAATAACTGAAATCATCTTACATGAATTATAGGAACTCTCACGTCCTTACAGTCATCATTCATTACTAACTGAATGAAAAAATAAATTTCGCTGCTAAATTTCTTAATACTATTTTTTCATCAAAAAGAAAAATAATTATAACAGTTGTTATAATTATTGCTAAAGCTAATAGGTACGAAAAAGAGACTAAAAAATTTTAAAAAAATATTTCTAAATATTTATGTTACAGTTAATATTTTTTATCTTTATTATGTGGGAAATATTCCCATTTATAGGAACCATTATTTACTTATCCATGTTCTTTCCAAAATAACTAGTGTAACTAGTTTATTATTCTAAGAAATATAATAAAATGTACCCTTTAAAGTCAATGTAAACTGCAAGGGCTTTTTATTTAAGGTTAAAATAATTATTATGAAAATTTGAGTATTTTTTCTCATTTCACAAACTAATTTAACTTCTGGTCCTAGTTAAAATTCCCTTAAGACTACGCCAAAGTACATTTTTTAAAAAAGAATTATATTTACTAATGAACTGCTCTGCGAAGCAATAAACTTCTTTAAACTCTGAATGCTTTCGTATTTAGAATGAAACTGTAGGAAAATGTAATAGGCAAACTCAGGACTTAGCATAGAATATACTTTACAAAGTCCTTTACCCATTTTGAGAGAATAATAATGAAAAATTTGTTTAATACGAATGATTCATGTCAAATT